AGGCTTAGATTGAGGGACATCAGCCCTCCTTACCACCATCTTTGCTTTCTAGTTAGCTGTCTTCATCTACTATGCTGTGCAACTAAATAGACGAGCTGAAGCCGAACCACAGAATGCGTTGACTTGGGCCTCCGGAGTTCCCTACTTCTCGCCTCTTTTCTTTGATCCACGTAGACGTCGAGAGGTGTGGAGATTCTTCACTTACTTTCTCATCCATCAGGTCGGCTTTCTTCCAATAACAACGTCAAGTGCGACTTAAACTCTTAAACTTGGACACTTCTAGTCCCTGAATCGATTAGTGTGAGAAAACTTTGATGTAGAAACTTAGAAGCTAGAAGGAGACAAGCGGATGGAGAATGGGTGAGTAGATGGATGGGTAAGTGGACGGATATGGGGTGGATAAAAGGATGAGCTAAAATAAATGGACGGTGAGGTGGATGAATGAAGAGGTGTAGTTGAGGTGGATTGCGCTGTAGCGTGACGGGAAACCTAGTCACAATCCATTTTCACCACCATCGAGTAGGGCATATGGCACGTGGTCTTCAACAGTTTTGTTACTCTCCTCCTGGGCAACTTGATGGAATGGGCCCATGGAACGTGGCGAGTGGCAGTGCTCTACTTTCTGGGAGTGTTAGCCGGCTCCTTGGCAACCTCAGTGTGGGACCCTCAAACCATCGGTGTTGGAGCCGGCGGTGGCACCTACGCCCTTCTCGGTGCCCACCTCGCGCTTTCGGTGGTCCATTGGGAGGAGTTGAAGCATGACTTTTTCGCCGTGGTTCGTGCAACCACTGCCGCGAAGCGGGCGATAGCCATTGGTGTCTCTGGAATTTTGAGGGTAAGTCGGTTCTTACCTTTTGGAGACATTGGAAGAAAAGGCTTACCCTTTCTGACCACAAAATCGAAGATTCTGTTGGAATTAAGACACCGATGAAGGCCTGAGACCCTCCCTCCTCCCATTCCGTCTAAGGTGCATCTCCACTTGCCGTTTTCATGGGCGTCAACCAAACTCTGAGTCCTTATCGGCTAAACACTTGTCACCATTTCATCACCTCTTTCCCACTAATCAAAAATTTTCCCATTCGCCTCTCTTCAATTTGTCTTTCAGATCTGTCTGATCCTCCTTCTCTGTGCAGTGGACTTTGGGATTGCGTTGTATGAGCGTTATGGCCTAGCAGACATTCCACTGCACGCCAGCTACTCACCCCTGCCCGCCGGTCTTATGACAGGTGTGTTGGTGGGTGTGCCACTGCTGCGCTACCTTCGAGACCGGCCATGGCAGCGTATCGAATTCTGGGCGTCTTTTGGTGTATGCCTTGCTCTCTTTACCTTCATCATCTTTTGGAACATCTTCTGGCCTGGATACCCGACCCAGAACGTCTAGATCATCCATTAAGTACTAAATGAATGCTTTGAAGTAAAGCAAAGGAGAACGTCTTTTGAACACGAAAATGTGGTTGATTGGGGGGTGAATTGAGGCGCTTTCAGGAGTGTCTTTCCATCCATCCGTCTACCATGCATTCAACCTTCTATCACATCAATTCTAACACAACTAATTAGAGCAGTAAGAGATAGAGGGACCAGAAAACATGGCGAATACTGCACTAACCCATGATCGTGACGTAGAGGTAAAAGGTGGACTCACAACTCCAAAGCAATGAATTTCATCCCCCTCCCTCTAGCTTCAAACAAAGTGAAGAGGGTTGGAACAGTCTCGTGCATATTTTGCAGTGCATTCAAGACCTACACTTCCATGCCTCTTTTGCAAGTTACCTCCTTGCAAACACAAAAGGTAAAAAAATGGATTCTTGAGATTCTTCTAATCACACTCATACTGTTGATATTCGCCAATCAAGTCGTTGACGTTTGTGAAGGCCTCATCGAACTCCGCCTCGTCCATGCCCTCTGCAGTGTACCAGTGGATGAAGGCTCGCTTTTTCAGCATTATCGCAAATTGATCGCATATCCGTTTGAAGGTTTCCTGAACTGCTGTGGTGTTGCCCACAAATGTGGCGGACATGGTCATGCCTTTCGGTGGCACATCACAAATTGCTGTTTTGATGTTGTTTGGTATCCACTCCACAAAGAAGGCGGAATTTTTGTTTTGAACATCAGTGATCACCTCCTCCACCTCCTTCACGGACAATCGGCCTCGAAACATGCCTGCCACCGTGAGATACTTTCCATGTCGTGGATCACATGCTGACATTAGATTTCGCGCTTCAAACATCTGGGTGGTGAGATCGTGGACATTGTAGGTGTGATAGGCTTGACCATACCGACTGGTAAGGGGTGCAAAACCTGGCACAAAGAAGTGAAGTCGTGGAAAGGGAATGAGATTTGTACCCAATTTGCGTAGATCAGCATTGAGTTGACCAGGAAAACGGAGACATGTGGTGATGCCCGACATTGTCGCCGAGACTAGGTGATTGAGATCGCCCAGTGTTGGATGCTGGATCTTCAGAGTGCGAAAACAGATGTCGAAAAGGGCCTCGTTGTCCAATGTGAAGGACTCATCTGACAGGTCTATCAGGTGACTCTGACCCAGAACTGAGTTGTAGGGTTCTACCACCACCTCCGATATCTGCATTGAGTAAGGAGGGAGAGAAAAGAGAGACACTTTTATTGCAAAAAAAAAAAGACTATTTTTTCTTTTCTTGCAAAATGTAACATCATTAAAAGGAAAGGAAGGAGGATAGAAAGACAGATCCTAGCCCTCTATGGTCTGATAGGCACTAATAAGCTCCAGCATCGAGGTGTAAGCATTGTCAAACTCGCATTCGTCCATCCCTTCACACGTGTACCAATGCAAGAAGGCTTTTCGACCAAACATGGTTCTGAATTGTTGCGCAATACGTTCAAAACTCTCCTGAATTGCTGTGTTGTTGCCAATGAAGGTGACAGCCATTTTAAGGCCCCGTGGTGGCACATCACAGACAGCTGTCTTGACATTGTTTGGAATCCACTCCACAAAGAAGGCAGAATTGCGACTCTGTACTTGTTGCATCTCCTCCTCCAACTCCTTGATGGATAAACGACCTCGAAAGACACTTGCCACGGTGATGTACTTTCCATGACGTGGATCGCATGCAGTCATGAGATTTTTAGAGTCAAAAATTTGTGTTGTCAAGTCATGAATGGTGTGATTGTAGTACGTCTGAACAAATCGTGATGTTAGTGGAGCAAAGGCGGGAATGAAGAAGTGGAGGAGAGGAAATGGAATCAAATTAGTGCATAGTTTGCGCAAATCAGCATTCAATTGACCGGGAAATCGGAGACATGTTGTCACACCAGCCATTGCAGCTGAGACGAGGTGGTTCAAATCCCCGTAAGTCGGTTTATCCACTTTCAGTACACGATAGCAAATGTCGTACAGTGCCTCATTATCAATCACAAAACTCATGTCCGAATATTCAGTCAAAAAGTGACTTGACAGTGTGGCATTATACGGTTCCACCACCACATCAGACACCTACAAAGGGCACCAAAAAGACGTCTCTACAAATCAGGTTTATTAAAATTTAATAAAAAAAAAAATTTGGACCAAAAGGCGAAGGAGAAGGAAGAGACCAAAGAGGCAGTTAAATTAACACTCAATTTGTTGATACTCCTGAATCAATTGTGAGACGTTTGCGATAGCTGCTGTAAAGTCGCACTCATCCATCCCCTCGGCGGTATACCAGTGGAGGAAGGCTTTGCGTTTCAACATGACCAAAAATTTCTCACCCAGACGATAAAAAATCTCCTGAATGGCAGTGGTGTTTCCAATAAAAGTGACAGACATCTTGAGCCCTCGAGGAGGCACATCACACACAGCTGTCTTGACGTTATTGGGGATCCATTCAACAAAACAAGGCGAATTGCGTGATTTTACTGCTCGCATCTCTCTCGTGACCTCCTTGATAGAGAGTCGGCCTCTGAACATGGCTGCAACAGTGAGATAGCGACCCATGAGAGGATTACATGCCGACATGATGTTGTGACGATGGAAGACCTGCGAGGTGAGTTCGTGCACCGACTCCGAGCGATAGGACATTGAGCATCGCGAAAGCAGAGGTGCAAATCCCGTGACAAAGAAGTGAACACGAGGAAAGGGAATTAAATTATTGCCAAGTTTTCGAAGATCTGCATTTAACTGACCGGGAAAGCGAAGTGAGGTGGTGATGCCGGACATAGTAATGCTAACGAGATGATTCAAGTCCCCATAGGTTGGATCTTTGAGTCTCAGAGTGCGAGAACAAATGTCATAAAGAGCCTCATTGTCAATCACAAAGGTCTGCTCGGCCAGATCAATGAGTTGGTTTTGTGAGAGGATTGCGTTGTAAGGTTCTACTACCACATCAGAGACCTACGAATATGTAAGGGGATGGTAGGGTGGGGTGGGTGGAAAAAGGGAAGAATGGGGAAGAGAGCAGTTTAATTTTCTCTTTTTAATGGACACTTCAAGTAGCCCGAAAGATGAGTCAAGCCTACCAACAGATGAGGGTCGTCTGTGGATGGCCCTCACTTTAAGTACTCCAAATTGTCGAGAAAAGGTCACATTCCCTCAACACTAAGCATTTAGATCAACAGTGGTGATTCTGAAGTCGGTGTTACGACAAATCGTCAAGGAGTGAAAGACATGGCACAACCCAAACCAATGGTGGAAAGAATTTCATGCACAGATGGATAGGTAAGGGATGAAGGCCATGTGCCGTTAGCAATGACATCTTAGAATAGTTGAATGTGGCTTCTCTCTACTTCCAAGTCCTCTCTACTAGGCGACTAAGACTCAATGGGCCATCCAACGATGGGGTGTAAGTAACAGTAAAAATATTGCTCCAACACCTTAACATCTCACCTTAGGCGAGGGATAGCAAGAGAAGGTGCACATGATGCGGTCAGGATAGTGTTCCCTAATCTTGGAGATTAGTAAAGTTCCCATTCCAGCGCCAGTTCCGCCACCCATAGAATGCACCACCTGGAAGCCCTGTAGGCAATCACAAGCCTCGCACTCTCGATGCACAATCTCCATGATACTCTCAATCATTTCGGCACCCTCTGTGTAGTGGCCTTTTGCCCAGTTGTTGCCTGCACCCGCGTTACCGAAGGCAAAGTTGTCAGGCCGGAACAGACATCCATAGGGTCCCGAACGCACCGTGTCCAGAGTGCCCGGTTCAAGATCGGCTAGCACTGTCCGTGGCACCATTCGACCACCAGCCGCCTCCATGAAGTAGACGTGGATGCGCTCAATTTGGAGGTCTGAATCACCCCGGTAGAAACCGTCAGGACCAATGCCATGCTCGTCTGCGATCACCTCCCAAAACTAGATATGACAAGGAGTTAAAAGTGAAGACCTGAGAATGACTCACCTTGGCACCGATTTGATTGCCGCATTGGCCGATCATGAGATAGAGAATTTCGCGCATCCTTCTACGAGAGGAATGATTTGGGGACTGCCGTGCGCGGGACTGCTAATACTGCAGGGACGGACTGTGCCAACAATCGCGGCTGACATGCGGACCTATCGATTAACAAGAGGGAAGTGTCACGTGAATGTGAGAGAAGGAAATGACAACCTACAGTCTGATGCACACTCGTGGAACTTGTTTGGAAAAACGAAGAGTCCAAACATGCAGATGTAATTGAAACTGATTTAGCATCCACCACTCGACTACCCTACAAGTTAAGTGCTAAAACACTTTTCTCCCCATTTTTGTCAGTACTAGCTGACCATCTAGACTTGCCTTAACAACTCCGCATGGGAAAACGCAAATCAAACCAACAGATAAACGCTTCCCACAATAACGAAAACAAGGGGTTGGCGAAATGTATAGCTGGTATTTATATACAAACTACAAAATGATTGTTAGGGAGTAGGTGAGAGGAAGGAGAGACAATAAATTTACGGTGGCACGGAAGACGTCCTGCGCATCGCATGCCAGGCTACTCGTAGGGGCATCAGACCCTCCCTCGGATGTAGCCATCGTGGATGTCGTGGATCGAAGTTGCATGCAGCGAAAGCTCGCAACAGTCGGCACACTGGTACTGACGGCAGCAGCAGCAGAGACATCTGTCGTGCTTTCTGATGCAATTTACTTTGCGAGCGAGGAACAACCGCCTTTGCGGCATGATCACGAGCGAGGGTCGCTAACACCTGGCAAACGTCGCGCAATCGTTCTACCGCCTGAGGATCAAACGAGGCACCGGTGGAGTTAATGCAGAGACGGAGAGCCACCTCGGCTGAGAGGTCATGCTGAAAAGAAATAGCACGTTCTGACACGGTATCTAAAGTATGAACTGAAGATAAAGGCGCATAATTTTGATAGGATACTGAGAGGAGAGAGAGGAGTAAACAAAGGAGGAATTTGTGGTAGAGGTGGAG